ATTGGATGGATCCCTCCAAGACTGTTGGAACAACAAAAGTGATGGTTTGGTGTGGTATATGGGGACAACGATAGTGGGTCCATTCTTCATCAATGGAAACCTCAAGGCTGCTGGATATTTGAAATTGCTACATGATGATGTGTTTCCCTCTTTATGCACTGAAGCTGGCACGTTCCCTGAGTTTTTCCAGCAAGATGGTGCACCACCACATTATGGGTGTCAGGTCCGAGCATCCTAGATGAACAGTTTCCTGGAAAGTGGATTGGTCATCGTGGGCCAGTTGAATGGCCCCAAGATCTCTCGATCTGACCCCCTTAGACTTTTATCTTTGGGTCATCTGAAGGCAATTGTCTATGGTGTGAAGATACGAGATGTGCAGCACCTGAAACTACGGATACTGGATGGCTGTGCTGGAATTTCTCCTGCGGTGTTGCTATCAGTGTGTGAAGAGTGGGAGAAGAGGGTTGCACTGACAATCCAACACAATGGGCAGCACATTGAACACATTTTATAAGTAGTCAGAAACTTGTAAATAACTCATGAAAGAATAAAGTTACGTTGAAACCAAGCACACCATTGTTTTTCTTGTGACATTACCAATAAGTCTGATGTGTCACATGGCCCTCTTCCTATTGAAAAAACAAAAGTTGTATCCAAGATGGCCGACTTCTAAATGGCCACCATGGTCACCACCCATCTTGAGGAGTTTGCCCCCTCACATATACTAATGTGCCACAAACAGGACTTTAGTATCACCAACCATTCCCATGTTATTACGGTGTATCCATATAAATGGCCCATCCCGTAGATAATGGCTCTCACTGTGGTTTGTTGGAGTCCCACAGCTTTAGAAATGGCCTTATAACCTTTCCAGACTGAGAAATTACTTTGTTTCTTTGTTCCTGAAGTTCCTTGGATTGCGGCAGATTGCATGGCTTTTTAGGATCTTTTGGTCTACACCACTTTGTCAGGTTGGTCCTATTTAAGTGATTTCTTGAAGAACAGTTGTGGCAGTAATAACGCCTGAGTGTGGCTAGAGAAATTGAACTCAGCTTTCCAAAGATGTGATACACCACAGTTAATTTATCTTATAACAGGGGAGGGCAATCAGGTTTTCACACAGGGCCATCCATGTACATGTGCATTTTTTTCCCCCTTAATCATAAACATCTTTATTTAGAAACTGCATTTTGTGTTTACTTGTGTTCTCTATGTCACACTTTCACCAGGGTCCTAACAGTACTTATTACAGACAACATTTTAAATGTCTATCTGAATAGAAAAGAGTTAAAACATATGAGATAATGAGGTTTCACCAAGGATTGGATGGTATAAACCTGAACTGCTTAATAAGTGTTGCATCATGCAAATAAAGTATGATAATGATTAAAAATGGTTTAAACCCATAAAAATAAAAAATATGAACCACTATTAAAAGGTCCTGTGGAAACCTGCTGGAAACAATCTCTCAAGAAAGAAAATCCAAAATGTGACCAATTCTTTCCTAGGGGGAATTAACTTGACCTCCTCTCTGGTTGGGCCTAATCATCTCTATGCTTATAAACAATAAAGATAATGTTTTTCATGGATGCACCCAACGACAGGACTGGTAGTGTATTTCTTCATAATGAAGCCCCTGTGTAACACTGATGAATTTTAACTTGATCAGAAGATTTAACACAGAGTCATTTAGACAGCCGTTAGCACAGGATTCTCCTTATGGGGACCTGATATGTTTAATATGCTGCTGAGAATTTAGCCCAGAAGAAGCGTATAGTATAGCTTTTATTTTGGAAAGAGCCATTTCTCTAATAAACTCTCTTTTCCAAAGATGAGTGATTTTTATTACTTTGTTGTTTCAGCAACACAAAATTTAAAAACTGTACTTTTGAGTTAAAATACATATTTATAATTTTAATAAATGACAAATTAAAAAGGCATGAACATTTTTTTGTATCGAAAAAATATTGAACCGTGACACCAAAGTATCGAACCGAACCGTGAATTTTGTGTATCGTTGCACCCCAAATACATAAATAAATAAATATATATATATATATAATATATATATAAATAAATTCCCTGCTCACCCCTGCGGGCGGTCTATCCTTCGAGCTCGCGTCCTCTACCAGAGGCCTGGGAGCTTGAGGGTCCTGCAGTATCTTAGCTGTTCCCAGGACTGCGCTCTTCTGGACAGAGATCTCCGATGTTGTTCCCGGGATCTGCTGGAGCCACTCACCTAGCTTGGGAGTCACCGCACCTAGTGCTCCGATTACCACGGGGACCACCGTTACCTTCACCCTCCACATCCTCTCGAGCTCTTCTCTGAGCCCTTGGTATTTCTCCAGCTTCTCGTGTTCCTTCTTCCTGATATTGCTGTCATTGGGAACCGCTACATCGATCACTACGGCCGTCTTCTTCTGTTTGTCTACCACCACTATGTCCGGTTGGTTAGCCACCACCATTTTGTCCGTCTGTATCTGGAAGTCCCACAGGATCTTAGCTCGGTCATTCTCCACCACCCTTGGGGGCGTCTCCCATTTTGACCTCGGGACTTCCAGGTTATACTCGGCACAGATGTTCCTGTACACTATGCCGGCCACTTGGTTATGGCGTTCCATGTATGCCTTGCCTGCTAGCATCTTGCACCCTGCTGTTATGTGCTGGATTGTCTCTGGGGCATCTTTACACAGCCTGCACCTGGGGTCTTGCCTGGTGTGATAGACCCGGAGCTTCTATGGATCTTGTGCTTAGTTCTTGTTCCTGTGCTGCCATGATTAGTGCCTCTGTGCTGTCTTTCAGTCCAGCTTTGTCCAGCCACTGGTAGGACTTCTGGATATCAGCCACCTCCTCTATCTGCCGGTGGTACATACCGTGCAGGGGCCTGTCCTTCCATGATGGTTCCTCGTCTCCCTCCTCTTTCTTGGGTTTCTGCTGCCTGAGGTATTCACTGAGCACTAGGTCAGTTGGGGCCATCTTCCTAATGTATTCTTGGATGTTCGTTGCCTCATCCTGGACTGTGGTGCTGACACTCACTAGTCTCCGGCCTCTTTCCTTCCCCTTAGCGTACAGCCTCAGGGTGCTGGACTTGGGGTGTAACCCTCCAAGCTTATTATTCCAGCCGGGTACCTGATCAGGGCAGGGCGTAGGTGTTGATAGCCCGGATCTTGTTCTTGCCATGCAGCTGACTCCTCAGGACTTGCCTGACCCTCTGCAGGTACTTTGTGGTTGCAGCTTTTCTAGCGGCCTCTTCATGGTTCCCATTTGCCTGCGGGATCCCCAAGTACTTGTAACTGTCCTCTATGTCTGCAATGTTGCCTTCTGGTAGTTCAATCCCCTCAGTTCTGACTACCTTCCCTCTCTTTGTTACCATCCGACTACACTTCTCCAGTCCGAACGACATTCCAATGTCATTGCTGTATAGCCTGGTAGTGTGGATCAGTGAATCGATGTCTCGTTCACTCTTGGCATACAGCTTGATGTCATCCATGTACAGGAGGTGGCTGACAACTGCTCCGTTCCGTAGTCGGTATCCGTAGCCAGTCTTGTTAATGATCTCACTGAGGGGGTTCAGGCCTATGCAGAACAGCAGTGGGGACAGAGCATCTCCTTGGTAGATCCCGCACTTGATGGTGACTCGTGCTATGGGCTTGAACTTGGCCTCTAATGTTGTACGCCACATCCCCATTGAGTTCCTGATGAAGGCTCTTAGGGTCCCATTGATCTTGTACAGTTCTAGGCATTCGAGTATCCAGCTGTGGGGCATTGAGTCATAGGCCTTCTTGTAATCAATCCAGGCAGTGCACAGGTTGGTCAGTCTGGTCTTGCAGTCTCGGCTGACTGTTCTGTCTACCAGTAGCTGGTGTTTTGCGCCTCTGGTATTCTTGCCAATTCCTTTCTGTGTCCCGCTCATGTATTGACCCATGTGCCTGTTCATCTTAGCCGCTATGATGCCTGACAGGAGCTTCCATGTAGTACTGAGGCAGGTTATTGGTCGGTAGTTGGAGGGGACCGGTCCCTTCTGGGGGTCCTTGGGGATCAGGACCGTCCGGCCTTCAGTTAGCCATTCCGGGTGTCTCTCGTCAACTAGCAGCTGGTTCATTTGTGCTGCCAGGCGCTCGTGGAGTGCAGTCAGCTTCTTCAGCCAGTAGGCGTGAACCATGTCGGGGCCTGGTGCTGTCCAACTCTTCATACTGGAGACCCTTGCTTGGATGTCTGCCACTGTGATGGCTACTGGACCCTGTAAGTGAGGTTTCTGTGGTCTGCCATCAGATCCACTAGCCACTGAGCATTGCTGTTATGGGTTGCGTCCTTCTCCCATATGCTCTTCCAGTATTGTTCCGTCTCCAGCCTTGGTGGTGTTGTTCTCATATCGTTCCCCTGCCACTGAGAGTACACCTTGGCTGGTTCTGTGGAGAACAGCTGGTTTATTCTCCTGCCTTCGATCTCTCTGGTGTACCTCCTCAAGCGGCTGGCCAAGGCTTGCTTTCCAGTTTCCAAGGCCTCAGGTATGGACAGGTTCCTGTACTTCTTAGGCACCTTCTTCATTGCCCCTACATACATACAACAACTCCCACCAGGGTTTAAATACCTGAGACTCTCCACTGTTTGGTTTAGGAGTGAAAAAGCTTCTTGGATGAGAAGTGAAATGTCTTCACGAAACTTAAAGAAGTCCAGTTGCTTTTCTTTCCAAGCTCCATAGATCACATTACACTAATCTCTTAAATTAAATATGTTCTATAAAGGACTTTTGAATCCCAGTTGAATTTACAGCAAATAAATCTCTGCTTTTGGAAGCGATTTTATTAGGAAAATAAAGTATTAGCTTTCTGAAGTCTAAACAGCTGTCTTTCTTGATTCAGCATTGGCACAGCAGTATCTGGATAAATGTTCCCGCCGACAACAAGAAACAAAAGTTTTCTCACAAATGTTGTCATGTCAAAAGAGTGAAGATAGTCATTTAAGGTAGAAATGATACTGTAAATAAACACAAAGCAAAGCAGTGTTCAGCAGTATTTACTAGTTGCAGTGTGCAGTGCCAGTAAGGATGTCAAAGTCCAGTCACCGGGTTTCTCTCCATTGCTGACAAAGCAAAGATATCTGCACCGTACATGCCACCTTCCACTTTGTATTAATGCAGCTATATATCCCAAATCTATTTTGTTTTTATCCTTTTTGTTTAAATAAGAAAAAAGCAAATATACATACTTTGTGAGCTAAAACTTTATAACATTTTTGTGGTTTACATTCAGGAACATTTAGGTTAAGTGAAAAACAAACAATAATCAAACACAAGATCAAATGAACAAATAAAAAAAGCCAACTTATTCACAATATGTATTTATAAACACTATTTGTTGCCAAACAGTTTTCATATTACTAGATCCTAAAAGTCCAGACTGCCTTCCAGCATAATGAGCTATTATACTTTCTCCTTTGAGGGGATCCAGATATAGGGTCCTGAATGTTCTTCTATGACCTGTTTGCAGTGGGTATAAATGTCCTCCAAGGTTTCTCCTTGAACCAGTGCTGCAAATAAAAAAACATATGAATGAACCTTCACAGATACATGAAAGTTTGATGTTTTTATTCAGGAAGCCAGGATTTGAAGATTCCTGACATACGCTGGTAGGATTGAAAAAACAACAACAACAACAACAACCCCAATCCCAGATTTATATGAAGTTGACTCAAACTGGGGGATTTCAACAGCATTTCCTTTTCCCCAATTGCTATTAGATTTGGTGAGTTATTTAGCGTCTCTGTTTAGCTTCTACAATTAGCTTTTTTATGAGTCTTGTGGTCCATGTACTGGAGATGAAGAGCAAATGTAAACTGGTTGTTGGATGTTTCTGGCCCACTGCTAAAGAGACACGTGTTTCCAAAGGACATTTTGCTTTGGCATTCACTCTCCTAGCCTATCCATCACAGAAGAAGAGTAAGAGGAATGTGAAAGCACTCTACAGTGAAAGGCAGCCTTGATCCTTATACTGTGTGTACCGGTGGATTCATGCCAACATTCCTCTGGGGGAGCATGATATAATGCTCATATGGCACATTTTTCAGTTATTGGCTTTGCTTGTGGAAATATGTAATTCCAGCAGTGCTGTCTGTAAACAGAAAGCATCAACAGTCCAGGTAAATATTACATAACCTTGTGATACATAGACTTCAGACAGAGTGATTCATATATTTTAAACACTAGACTGACATCAGTGCCCACAGTTTTATTTTTTACATGATTTAATTTCTTTATTTATGCAATTTGTAGACTGAATGGAGTTGGATGGTCTTGGCTTCTTCAGCACAACATACTGCATCTAAGCAATGAATGTCCTGTATATCACAATAAAGCATTCACAGCATTACACTGCTTCAAACAATTACAGGAACACCTTTTAATCAGAATATTTAGCAGAATGCATTGTTGATCTGTTTCAGCTACTTTGGTGTTAATGAATTAGCCTCGTGTGCACCAAAGGCCCAACAATGACACGACTCTCAAACAGGAACGGTTTAACCTGTGGAGGCCACTGACATTTTTTTCTGACCATTTTCTTTACTAGTTTGCATTTGTCCAGGGTCACTACTGACAGCATGAGCTGATACCTGGACCCTGCTGAGGTTACATACAAGAGTGTGGGGGCCATATAAAATACTACCCAGTGCCATGTTGAGTTGCTGGAATGAGAGTTTGGTCTTCGGTAGGTTGATAATTTTCATTTCCATCTTTATTCAAGGAGGGGAATGGAGAGTGTTTTCGAGCGTACAGCTCACACTCCTCAGCCTCCTCGGGAAGGTTGATGTCAGAGTATTGGACGAGGAGACTCCATCCATTAGTTAAACCTCAGATTCAGTTCAATTTAATTTTTCATGTCAATCTAATTCAGTTTTATTTATCTACTGTCAAATCACAACAGTCGCTTTATGTTGTAAGGTAAATACTCCAGAATAATACAGAGAAAACCCCAACAGTCAGAGGGCGAGCATAAAGTAAGAGATGGCGTCTGTCTGTCACGGCTAGACGGTCCTCACCGGTCGCCTTGCCAATTTTTGTTGTGTTTGCGTGTACTTTGTGGTGTTCTCCTCTCCATCCTAATCCGAAGCAGACCTATTTAACGGTGCGGTCGAGTCACAACCAACGCTGGAACGTTGAGCTAAACCGGGTAGCGTAGTCGCGATTAGCATACCTAGTTTGTGAAGGAGAGAGAACGTTTTCGTTACTGTGCGTGTGTTTTTCTCATCTGCCTCCAGGATCCAGGGATCGGAGGAGGAGCGGGCACAAGGAGTTGTTTTGGATTGTCACTGCACTGTCACCACGGGGAGAAGCCACTGTATCACTGCACTGCCCTTTTTGGATTACAGACTCGAACTGTTGACTTATTTTTTCACTGTGAATAAATTCACTGTCACTCTGCAAGGAGTCTCGCACCTGAGTCCTTTAACCCAATTCACCATGACACTGTCTCCCAAATCCAAACTGGGAGCTGGTTCCTCAGAAGAGAGGACTGAAGGCTCCGAACACCTTTCAGCTGTACTGAGACAGGTTTAGAATTCCTAATTTTGTGCGTCTGGTGACATCGTGAGCTCAGACCAGACCAATAGAATTAGTCTTTAAATGATTTTTTAAGTTTCTTTCTGTTTTTGATGTACATCTTTCAAAACTTCAGCAAAGGTAGAAAAGTTATACATGCTAAAATCTTTACAGCGTGCTGTTCTCCTTATTGAGGAGTAGAAGCTTTTTCAGTTGTCTGACTAAACCAATACTGTCACTGATGCCTAAGCTTTGGATTTAGACACGGTTCAAACAACGTTTGAGCTACAGTGATTCAGTATAAATGGTTTGTTTTAACACTGTACCTGTAAAGAATTCACCAAACTCCTGCTCAAGCTTCATCGCCCTGTCAAAGATCTTCTGGGCTTGTTCCTCTGTCAGTCTCTTATTCATGGCCCTGTACACACACACACACACACGAATAGAAATGTGCGCATCAAACAATACCTCTATTGTTAGTGTGTGACAAAAGACCACATGAATACTCACATTAATGAATCAATAGACTTCGGTTTTATGAAGATGGCAATGGGATAGAGTTGTGCTACTTGTAGTCGTTTGATAGCATTTCCAGAAACATCCAGAATGCAGTGTTTACCCTGAGACAGAAGCACAGCTTTAGCTGTATCACACAGAATCACACTAGCTCTCATATTAAGATCATTTTAAAACAACTCTTATGTGTTTCTAAATCGTCTTTGCTTTTCAAAGTGCAGTGCAGCTGCTTTGATTTCTCAGAGAATATATTGCACTCTGCACACTTATTATATTTAACTATATTTAAAATGCTTCTCAGTGACGCTGCTGGCAAACAGATCAAATCTTACCCTCTCAGCCACGTATTTGACCGAATGGACGCTCGTTCCATAGAGATTATCATTATACTGCCCAGCCTCAATGAACTTGTGCTCTTGGATATCCTTCTCCATCTGTTCCCTCGACATCACAAAGTGGTAATCTCGCCCATCAGCCTCGTAGTCCCTCTTTGGTCGAGTGGTATCTTCAGTATGAGCAGGAACATTAACTCTTAGTAACTTTACATTTGCTATAATTCTATCTAAATGAATAAGTACCTCACTCACATTTTACAATTCTCACATTAACTGTAACAAATTCACCTTTAAAGCTATCCGACAGAGATTAAAGGGCTAAACTGGAAACATGGGATAACACTGCTAGCACCGCACAGTAATAACACGGTAATGCTGGGATAACAGGTTAATAATGAACAAGTAAAATACTGATATACTTGTGATTAATACCAAGGTACTGCGTGGCCTTTACTTCAGTAAGTAAATGGTATTACTTGCATGTTCTGTCTTTATTATCACACTAATACTAAAACCACTCTTACCATGTTATTACCAAGCTGTGACATAAATGTGATCATGTTTTTGAACTCACAGGTAAGCGCCTCTGTTAATATATGGAGAGGATGTGGCACAGAATTCTATATTATTAGTGCACCATAATGATATAATAATAATAATAATAACAATATCAATGACAGAAATTCCACATTATACACAAACTGTGGTTCCAAAAAGATGAATGGACTTGTTTATGGGAACTACTTCACTTTAAAGGACTTTCTAAACAGTAGGTTGAGAGAATCAGTTCATGGGCTCACTTACCTTGATAACCTGAACGGTTAGCAGCTTTATATGGTTTAAAGGGTAAATTCAAATAAGAGATGGGTAAATAAAAACATGCAAAATCAAAACTGCTGCAGCTGATGACAAACACAACACACACAACTGAAGAAGACGAAGGCTGATCCTGTTGGGTCAGCTTGTGACAGCTTTCTCTTACAAACCAGCAATACCCAAGCCACTGTCATTACATTAAGTAATATTTAACACGGTGTTCCTGTGTGGAGGAGATTACAAGATCTATTCTCACAATGGAGACCATATATACTTGGTTTACTACAATGAGAAGGCTGGTGGAATCTGTGTGAGCTGTCCCTCAGCTACTGATTGAATCGCTGCAGTTTTCTATCCATTTTCTCAACTGTTTGTATAATTTAGGGGCGCAGGGAGCTGCTGCCTATTCCAGCTGTCCAAGGGTCAAAGGTGGAATCTACCTGAGCACCAGCAGAGTGAGACAGACAACCACCCACTCTCACATTCACACATACTGTAGAATGGCCACAGACATGCATGCTAACCAAACATCCATGTCTTTGTACTGTGGATGGGAGCCTGAGAGAGTGCAGACAGTAGCAGGGAGAACATGCAGACTCTACACAGAAAGGTCTCCAATGGATGCAGACGTAGACATTTCTTCCATTAAGCTGGAATACTAATCTGTAATGTCCTGTTTCCCACTTCATCCTTACATTAGCAATGCAAAGTCAAATACGTACGCGGCACACAAGATCCAAACTTGTCTGGGAACTCTGATATGAGGTCATCATTGATTCTTTCCTTCATGGGTCCCAGGATTATGACAGGTCTGGCATAGTTAACTAAAGGAGAAACACAGACTTCATAAAAAGTAAACTCTTAGAGGACCGTAGCATAGCTTTAGTTATGTTGTTATCATCTACAAAGGATATATCGATTCTTGTAATAGAAAAATGAATAAATAATAGAAAATCTGTAGAGTAGACAGCAGCAACTGGGAAACTGTACAGTTCTTGCAAAGTTTATACGTTTCGATTTCACATGCGGGGCAGTTTGTGGTGAGAAAACGTATTAAAACCATCCCTAACTTTGTTGGGCTGCTTAACAGAAAAGAGGAATAATATGGAGTTTAGGCTGGCACACAAAAACTATTTGGAAAAACCTAGTTTGTAAAAAAAAAACATACGAAACTAAATTTTAACAAAATATATCATTTCAAGAAGTCATAAAAACCAAAAAAACAATCAAGGTGTCAGCGTGGGCTGTGGGCTGTCAGCGTGGGCTGTGGGCTGTCAGAGTGGGCTGTGGGCTGTCAGAGTGGGCTTACCCCCAATGCATCCACCTGTGTGACTGTCTGTGAATGTGGCATGTGCAAAAATTCCCAAAGCCCGAGATAGCTGTGACGTGTTTGTATCTAAATCAACAACTTGAAAGTGAAGCTCATTAATGCTCAGTGGCTGATGTGTCTAACGCCTGCTTTAAGGACACAAAAGAATTAATAAATAAATTAATTGAAATAAAAAACCCACAACCAATACAGCCTTTGTTCTCACAACATCATACAACTAATTGTCCCCAAAAATCAGAACAGAATTGGGGCTTTTAAATCCGCTGCCCCCTGTTTCCTGGAATAATCTGCAGAAGGATCTGAAACTGTCAGAGTTGGTTATGTTGATGGAGTTTAAGTCCATCTTTAAGGAACGAGAGAATAACTCTGTTAGTCCGTGTGATTGTTTTTAATGTCGCTCTTAACTGATCTGTTATTGTGTATTTTTCACATGTTTGTGCGGGATTTTGTATTTGTTATGTACTTATGTGGTACATGTATTTTTGACTTTTGCTGCCATGATGCCAGATCTCTTTTGGAAATAAGATTTTTAATCTCACTGAGGTTTTTTCCTGGATAAATAAAAGACTAATAATAAAAAAGTTTTAGCTTACCTTCATGACGCATCACTGGTTCATATGAGAGAATCACTTCCTCTTGACTTCCTGTTAGGATATTTCACAAAATATAGTGCTACCTTTAGCTATCAGAATTTGTGGGCAACAAAGAAAAACCCATCAAAATACATGTAACAGTTCGAGATAACTCTGTAATAATCAACATTTTATTCATGTTTTACATTTACTGATATTTTAGTATCTTCTAGTTTACAAATGAGAACTTCAAAAAAAGTACACGGTGGTTTCAGTGATGCGTTTGTGTTGTCAGTGCTAATAATTAGCTAATTTAGGAAACTCTTAAAAACATAAAAACCTGTCTTGATTTGAATTTTAGGTACTGAAACACGCATAATTAAATACTCTCAGTATTTCGCAATAATCAAACTACTGGACATAAACACATACCCGCAACGCTGAAACATGAACTCCAACAGCAAATGACATTTTACTGTAGAAGGCCCAAACAAACAGATGTAACCGTGGCAACCTCTAAGACTGTCATTCAAGCTGCTATGCTCATAAACGAAAACAAAAGCACCATGCAAACATGCATGAAACAATATCCACATAGTGAGGCTGGAATAACAAAGATCATGCTGGTGGAGTCGTGAGAGATCCCAGTGGTTCCTCCTTAGGACGAATACAAGGTCATAACTGTGTCCTGCAGAACCTGCGACCCTTAACAAATCATGCAGTTCTCAGATAATGCAAACATTACAGACGCGCCAAGGTATAAATGGCACAAGCCACCGAAAGCATAAAAACTAACCCAATATATGTATAATAAGATTTCAGTAGTTTAATTTAAATATTTATCCTCTGATGCATTTTAAACGATTCTTAAAGTCTTATACAAGAAAAAGATGGTTACTTGAAATCCTTACATGACATTATACAGATATTGAACATTTTTAAACCTCTGCCACATGTCATGTTTTAGTGGACCAAGAAGCAAGATAAAGCCAACAACTGCAGCATGCAGTAATGCAGGCAGAAGAACAACCAACTTACTTAATGTCTTTGTCCCATACCCATCATCACCTATCCCCAGGATGTCCTATTGGCCGTCCACAGAGAGTCAGAGCAGAAGAAAGAGAGCAAGGAGGACAGCCACAACATAAGCAAAAGGTGGAGGAAATGAGGACAGAGGGTGCGGCCCACAGATCTGTCCTTCTCAAAACAATGAGCGGCCAGCAGGGAGAGCCAAAATACCAAAATACCTAGATGATCTCTGAAGGGAAACTGGGTCATATAATATCACCACAAAATGAACAGCAGTGATTATGAGAGCAGTGATTATCGCATTTCTGCATCAGAAAAGGACAGAAAACAAGGATGACTGCAAAGAGTCTCCGTGAGGTTCCCACACTTGGAAACACACCTGTGGTTTCCCTTCTGGCCTGACGTGTGACCTACACTGACTGCATGAAAGCACGTATGTGTCTGTGAGCTTACTTACGGTCTGAATCACTGCCATCCTGCTCACCATCTTTGTTCTTGTAGAATGGGAACTTTCGTGTAAAGATGAAATTCTTTTTACGTTTGTCAGTGAATGACTGCGAAGGGAGAGAAAGCATGGGGCAAACAGGTGTATCATTGTCATGCAGACAAAACTGTTTGCAGGAAGTAGAATGTCAAGAAGTTAAGTGTGAATCACTGCTGCGTGTTTTAAGTTGACCTAATAATATGTGAAGCTTTGAGCCGAGCTGGCCACAGATAGATGAGATCAACCAAAGACTGTCAGACAACAACAGCGATATATAAAGTGACCGAGCTTCTTCTGCTGTATTCCTAAATAAATCAGTATGAGATTGCACACTTCTTGACATGCCACCCGTTTAAAATAAAAGCAAAGTGAGAGACAGTTACCCAGAACATGCCATGAAAAATAAAATATAAGAAAGAGGTTCCATAAGAACACGTAAAAACATGCAGTAATAGAAGGAAAAGATGGAATTTGAGAGGATGACAGCTGAAATAACCTGCCTGTATGATGTGTGTCTGTGGTGGTAGAATATATTGCACTTGATGCTTTGTAAATATACCACATCTGTTTCCAAAATGAAGTTGAGCTGATAATTCACAGGTGGTGCAGGTTTGACTTGTGGGAGGTAAGATTAATAAATGAAGCACATCTACAGCTGTAAGAAAGGGTTTGTGGCATTGTCAGGATTTTTGCACTGATGGTTCTTATAGAGCGCTTTTCTACTCTGAGCAGTCAAAGCACTTTACACAACTTGCCTCATTCACTCTTTTCCATGTAAGTGCTCTCTAGCTAACATTCATACTCCGATGGATGCATCGGAGAGCAACTTGGGGTTATTGCCCAGGGATACTTGGCTCGCAGACTAGAGCAGGCAAGGATCGAACCACCAACCTTCTGATCAGTAGGTGACCTGACTGACCATGTGTGAAGTCAACTATACACAAAAAACTGCTTGTTTTTCATGTCAAGTAATCACTCACAGTGCCGGCTGGAAAAATGAGTAAGCCCCTGACTTCACCTAGCCAAAGACTCCTGCATGATCTACAACACTGAGCAAAGCTCTGTGGGGAGCTGAGAATGCGCAGTGTTATATTTGGAAGTTAAAAGCCTGGCAAACCTTTACAAACCTGTAAAGTATGGTGGAGACAACCCTGGGCCTGCGCACATTGTCATCACTGGATGCAACCAAAAATGAAATGTGGCAGGAGAATGTCGGGGCAGGAAGTCCATGACCTGAAGCTTAGTAGAGGTTGGCTGATTAAACAAGGGTGCAAATCAAAGCACACACGTAAAATATCAAGAGAACTGAAACAAATACAAATGAAGACGTTTTACAGAAGAAATGATCTGATGGACTTTTCCAAAGTTAAGCTTTACTTGCCTGCACTGGAAGTGATTACTTGTTTGTTCATGAAGGCATAAAAATGTTTGTCTGTGTTAACTTTGTTTGTGTGGCAAAGCAAACAGCAGGTTAAGCTTCTCATACATGTTCAGTTCTATCTGAACTAGCCTGTGGATCATCGCACTAATAGAAATTTCCACTTTGCGAGGTACTCACCCCTTTTGACTCAAACGACCCTGGCTTGGCATTGAATTTAACAGTCTTTAGACGTGCCCGCTCTTTCCTTTCCACCCTGTTGAGGAAATAACTAGTCAGCTGGTGTTATGGTTCAAAATATTGGGGATGGAGACAGGAGAAACACCACAATAACAACACTGGTCCGGCCAGGTCAAGTCAAACGATGATTTTAATGGTCACACCCGTGGGAGATGGAAACTGTATGCAGACAGCCTCAGATCTCATCACAAAAAACACATCTCCATAGTTTTGTAAAAATCAGGGTATTAGAACGCCCCTTCATGCGTAATGACAGATCAAAATAGGTTCCAGACATTAGTCACAGTTAATCGTACATCTTGTACATCTTTAATGGCTACAAACAGACATAGAACTTCTCCTTTCTATAACACCTTCCAAACATGGTAATAAACTTCAAGCCCTCAGGGTCTCTGAGGCTAATTATTGACTCTGGTCATCTGTTACCAAGTAGAGTAAAATATAGTGAGACTCCAAATGAGTTAAGGCCTCAGGCCGGACACATTCCTAGATTATATGTATTATATGTATTATATGTACTGTAAGCATGTTTGCATTTAGCCCTCTGCACTCAAAGTCAAAACCTGCAATATATCAGTCCGGACCATCACGCTGAACGAAGCTTATGACCTTCAAAAGACCAAGTGCCAACTCATCATAAGCACAATTGCAAGGTGTGTCTGAAGTTATTGAAACCACTCTTTTAACAAAAGACAAACAAATTAACAAATCTTCTAAACGCTATTCAGTTCATTTCAATCATTAATTATTAAACATGAAAGTGATGATTTATGCTTTTCACTGATTCTCTAAAAAGCCCGGAAACTGACTCAGGTATTTAATATTTCAATCAATGTTGTTTAATTAACTACCACTTTAAACTTAGCAAAAAAACATAATTGAATAAAAGACCACAAAGAATAATATGATATCAGTGGTATGTAGGCGCGTGCGGCCCTCTATGCTCGAAGCCTTTCCCCTCCATAGATCAGTCAGACATTCACGCTGACTGTAGCTTTTAACCCTTAATTAACTTGAGCACAACTCTATAATAAGCAACAAACTGCAATATGTATAAGTTGATCATGGTCACATCTGCAATGAAAGATCATATTATTCTGGTACCTGTAAGTAGAAAATCAAACTAGAGTTATAACAATCACTGTAATACAAAGGCTAATGCAAGATCAAAAACTTCAGTATATATTTAATGCAAAGCTGGTTATATGATTCTAATGAACTAATAGTGCCCTATTAAAATAATGAAACCAGAAGAGGAAAAAACATCCCCTTTTTATTCTACACTGGTATGTATAAAGTTTAGCAACTGTGAGGAGAAGAAGGAAGTCTTAACAATTTCTACCCCATATGGAAAAGATATATATATAAATCTTACAAAGTCTGTCTTGTGTGAAACTTGTATGAAAAGCGTATAAGAGTGAAAACAGATATAAGATCCCTCGAAAAATTATATAATGAAACTTGTATGTTTTGGATACTTCCTAAAACAATATATGAAAGTAATGAGAAAGTGGCCACTTTCATGAGTAAATCATATACGTTTTACACGTACTCCTGCCCTTTCCAGTGACCACAGCTAAACATCAGCAAACATCAGGTGTGTGGTAACAGACTGCTTATTGAATTGGGTTCATTGTGTGCTTCATCCTGTCAGCCCACTTTAAATGCTTTTACTTTTCTCCAGTATTGCTGATCTTACCAGTACCTCACTCCTGATGCTTACTGAGCACCTGCAAGTACTTGAAGTTGAAAAAACCCCAGTTTTAAGCTTGTTTTAACAAAGGCTCCTTCAGGGGACAACAAATTAATAGCTGTCCAAATACAGTATCATGGCCCTGCATTTGTACACTGCTGAATGAAATTACAGGAGCACTTCAAAGCTAACAGAAAAGCTCCTAGTTGTTGCATCCACATTCACCTTGTATGAATTTAAAAAACCTACATCGCTTTGTTCTCAAGTTCAAAATAATGACTTCTGTTTTTTTTAATTCAGTTACATTTTATTTATTTAGCACCAAATCACAGCAACAGTCACCTCAAGGCGCTTTATATTGTAAGGAAAAGACCGTTAAACAACACAGAGAAATCCCAACAATCAGACGAAACACGGTGGGAGGGAAACAGCAGAACCAGGCTCAGGGCCATCTGCTGTGACAGTGGGGGGTGAGGGAAGGGAGACAAGACAAAGAGAGCCAGAGATCAAGAATCATTAATGCTTAATTATAGTTTATTAACCCATGATGAGTGAAAATGGGCGAGACAAAGAGAAATGCTTAGTGCATCATGGGAGTCCCCCAGCAGCCTATTGCAGCATAACTAAGGGCCGATTCACGGTCACCTGATCCAGGCCTAACTATATGCTTTGTCAAAAGGACCTCTAACCTTGAGGTCAAGGTCACCAAGTTTTTGGTGGACACACCAGTTGCATCACTTTCAAACTCCCGTGTCTTTGTTCTAGAGTTTTCACACTCACAAGATTTTCAGAAAATTGAGGCAGACCTTGAGGCCGAAGTCACCGAGATCCAAACTCGTGTGAGATCTTTAGTACTAACACCCACACTAGCAGTCAGGTTTGGACACGTTTAATTCTTTATGTTTCTTTGACCATTTACATCGTAGATCAGGGCTGCCCAATCCCAGTCCTCGAGAGCTACTATCCTGCAGCTTTTAGATGCATCCCTACTCCAACACAGCTGAATCAAATGGTTTGATTACCTATTCAGCATGCCATCATGTTTGGCAAAGGCCTGATAACAAGCCATTCATTTGATTCAGCTGTGTTGGAGTAGGGATGCATCTAAAAGCTGCAGGATAGCATATAGGGGGCAACAGTAGCTCTCGAGGACTGGGATTGGGCAGCACTGTCATAGATTCTTACTGAAGGCATCGAGACTATGAATGAACACATGAGGAATTATGTAGTAAACAAAAAAGTGTGAAATAACTCAAAACATGTTTTATATTTTAGATTCCTCAAAGTCGCCCCCCTTCATGCCTGGATTGCTTTCAAGTTATAGCCACCCACAGGTGACTGTGGAGGCCGGGCTATCAGCTCACACAGCCTGGAGGTGTGTTTGGGCTCATTGTCCTGTGGCTGCAGGATGCTGTGGTAGCCATGCTGGGTCAGTTTGCCGTCAGTTTTGAATAAATCCCCAACAGCGTCACCAGCAAAGCCCCCCCCCACACACACACACAAACACACACACCTCCTCCTCCATGCTTCATGGTGGGAACCATGCACGTAGAGACCATCGCTCACCTTTTCTGTGTCACAAAGACACAGCAGGTGGAACCAAAGATCTCAAATGTGGACTCATCAGACCAAAGCACAGATGGTCTGATGTCCACTCCTCGTGTTTCTTGGCCCAAACAAATCTCTTCTCTTTAGTCGTGGTTTCTCAGCAGCTGTTTGACCATAAAGGCCTGATTCACACAGTCTGCTCTGAGCATGTAGAGATGTGTCTGCTGCTGCTCTGTGTGGCATCTATCTGGGCTCTGATCAGAGCTGCTGTTAACTTGTGATTTCTGAGGCTGGTGACTCGGGTGAATGTATCCTCAGCAGCAGAGGAGACTCTTGGTCTTCCTTTACTGAGGCGTCCTCATGTGAGACAGTTTCATCGTAGTCTTGATGTTTTTGCGACTCCACTTGGGGACACATTCAAAGTTTTAGCAGTTTTCCAACTGACTGACCTTCAGCTCTTAAAGTAATGATGGACTGTTGTTTCTCTTTACTTAGCTGATTGGTTCTCGCCATAATATGAATTCTAGCAGTTGTCAAATAGGCCTGTCAGCTGTGCACCAACCTGACTGCTGCACAACACAACAGATGGTCCCAACGTCATTAAGAAGGCAAGAAACTCTACAGATGAACCCTGACAGGCTCACCTGTGAGGTGAACCCATGTCAGGTGACTACATCATGTAGCTCACTGAGAGAAGGGTCAATCACGACACTGGACGGAGGGAGACACAGACAGTAAACGAAGAGGGAATCAGGGCAAAGAGGAAACACCTGGGGGAGACTATCAAAGTAAAATTGGAAGTGCGAGAAACACGCACTGAGATGCAGACTGACGAAACCCAGGGCACAGAGGGAGGACAGAGAGGGCGAGAGACAAGTAGGGGAGAACACACATGTGTGAGAGAGAGACGGGGAGACGAGGATGAAACACTAGGAGGGAAACATGGACTAAAGGAGACGAGACACACAGAAGCGAGCAAACACAGACATGACTGGGGGAACATACGACATATTTGTGACACGAATCACAATTCAAACCTAAAGCAAAGAAACAAAAATCCCACATTTGACAAATGGTTTCTGCTCTTTGATAATGAAAACACCTTTTTGGCACTTTTGCTTTGTTTGCTGTATCGACGCCTTTCAGATGAATTTGATTCTGCGCCAGTGTTATTCAGGACTGGGATACGTTACGTTTTGGCTTTTGTTATCACGAAGGTCTTCAGCTCTTTGACTTCCCTGAGGGGACTATTGTTGTTGGTGATTTATAAATAAACTTGAATCAAAAACAGGCTGTTTTTGGATAATGACTAGTTTAGAGGAAACTAGTCAATAGTATGTTCACACATTAGTGTATTCACTTCTTACCGTCTCTTGCTTGGGATGACGCCCATTTCCTCGCTGTCACCATGTGGAGTAACACGGCGAGCCTGCCACCACTCATCATCGGAGGCGTTGATGACGTGCAGGATGTCCCCAAACCTGAAGCCGAGCCCTTGGCTGGGAAGACCGCTGTCCTTTGACTTTTCATAGTCAAAAAGTGCCCTATTCCACGAAAGAAGAGCAGTAATAAAATAATAATCCCTGTTTCTTTGCAGTAAGTGACTTTTATTCTAAATTAGCAAAGAGAAACTAGATGCAGGATTTCAGCAGTTATAGTTACTATAGTAAATAGTGAATGTGTTTCTGTTTCAGTCACACATCTCAAATATCTGCATAAATCTTCATCTTAGTTAGGGTCAGACATCTGTGCATGAAGACACACAAGCTTACAAAAGTAAACGACGCAAAAGCAGCTTTGCTGTTTAGCCTGGGATGTCTGACTGCAGAATGGATGTTTTTTCATTTTCTGCATTCTTTGAATTCACCACAACCATCTAAAATCCAAAACAGACCAACCTAACATAGAGTGATCTTTTCTGATTGGTTCGCAGGGATCCTGACCCGGAGCTCATGCTGTGGTTCATCATCTGTTCCCGCAGGTCGTGGATTTTGGCCTCAAAACGTCCGTACTCTACAAGACAAGGTTAGCGTGGATCAGCACTGACAGTCTGACACCAATAAGGTCTTGAGTAATTATCTTTAATGGAATTTGCATTTAGATATTGTTTAAGGTATAACTGTCATTGTAAGGTTATGTCCGTCTGCTCTGTTTATTATCAGGCCTTTTAGTTCCCTTGGTTCCCTTGTGTGATCACTGCAGCTGTGTTACCTGCTGTTCCCTCTCTATAATCACCTCTTGTGTATATATCTTCAGCTGCCCTCATTATCCTGCATTATCAGTGTCACGCTTTGTCTCTCGCTCACTTTTATGCAGCGCTTTCATCTAAAACACACAGAAACACACACAGTATCTTGTCTGAGGACTTGATAACTAATAAACACTGATGTTGTGCCATCAGTGTTTATTAGTTATAAAGGTTCAGGAGTTAAGCTTTGGGCCAAGAAACAAGAAGAGAAGTGTACAGCAGCTGTTGCTGACTAACAGATATTCTATAACTGTCTGCACGTTCAGTCTCATGCTCAGTTTCCACTTTTTTATATTGTCTTGGTTTCTTTCTCCCTGGTGTCTACACACATCTCAAATCTGTGTGTCAGCAGTAGACAGAAAGGGAAACACCTATCTCTTTGCAGTGGGTTCTTATTAGCAGCATGCATTCATACCTGACCTACGAAAATAGAAACAAAGGCATTTATCCCATTTCAGCACATCAGCAGCAGGACAGTGTCACAAGCTGCTGTATAATACAATCAGATATATAACAATACAACCCAAAGAAATAGGAGACAGATTCTCTGGTTTCCTTTTTTACGTCTAAAAGAGGAGACGTTCCCTCCCACTGCTGCTCATAGAGCATCAGATGATTGTGGGGGTTTTGTCTGTTTCTTTGTACTGCTATAAAAAGCACTTTGAGGCAACTTTTCTTGTGATGTGGCAATATATGAAAAAAGGAATTAAAAAAATAAGACTACCTTTGAAAACATATTTGTATATTTATATATGCTGATGAGGACATGGACAGAGTTTATGCGACAGAGGAGGATGTTACAGACGGGGTGAGGCAACACCTGAAGGGAGCAAAAGAAAAAGAAGGAACGCAAGACTGTGAGTCTGACAATGTGTCAGTATGAAATCACTGTGGCTGGCTATATTGTTTTCTCACTAATACTTGACCTCTTTTTTAAATAACAGGAAAATAACTAAACTACTAACTACTAGGAGACAAACACTAAGTTTCTTTGTTTCTTGTTTTTTGTAAACATATTGTTGGCAAATTGCTCTAAATTGCTGCAAATTCTTTGGTAGCCAGCTGGCACTTAGGCTTGTTGGTCCGGAGACCCGGCAGCGCCTCACCCAAATACTCTGCTCCACAGACCCTAGCTTTTCTTCCTCCTGTTCCAGTGCAGGAGGATCCACCAGTTCTGCACTGAACATGTTGACTCACTTTGGCAACACAAAAGTGAGCCACTTACTGTCTTTCCTGTTTTAACCAGAAACATAAAAATGTTAATATTAAAGCACTAATTTATTGAACACTGTTTCATAGACAGTGTTTGGTGCTCAAGCCCAGCGAGCTAAACTGTCTCGTGAAGACAGGAGAGGAAGCTGAAGTCGATGTTAGAAAAGTTGCTGAAATCATAACAACTTTTCAGAATTGTAATAAATTAGCAGAAATATTCACAGCGTTTAATCTGTAACAGATGTGTTTTTTAAGAACAAATGTCCATGGTTTGAATTATGCCTAGTTCATAATTGATCATTCTTGCTTGACGTTTGACATTTAATAAGTTTTCTTTGCGTTTAAAAAACAAATATAAAAAACAAATACATGGTTTATACTGTTGACAAAGGTGGGACTGTCTCCCATTATATCTGAGCGAGGGTAGAAGGACAGAACATCAAGCCTATTATGTTTAAAGTGTTGCAGCTACACACAGTGAATGAACACTGTGAGAACAATGAGGTAAATCAACAGAGTGTGTGCTTTGGATAAAGCACATAGAGATTACACACACACACACACACACACACACACACACACACACACACACACACACACACACACACTGTACTGTGCATTGTAACATGAACAAGAAGTGATGCTTGTTAGAATTTATTTTTTATCTTGTATAACTCATTATTTATATTCACAATTACCTCATAATTTACACGCGTTTATATTTTACTACACAAATATGTATTATAGAATAGAGGGTTGAAAGAAACTGCCACAGCCATACAGCACAAGGCCATAGGAAAAATACTGGACAATGATAGGTGGACACACTGGCTTTAACACACCAATGGGGAGGCAGCGTCCCACCCAAGTACCTAGGCCCAACCCTGATTAGCTTCCAAGATCTTGTCCGATCTTGGAAGCTAATCAGGGTGGTATGACCATGATGGAGCCTTTACTGTGTTTCACTGATGGCTGTATACACACACTGTTGTACCTCCCTCCTTACCTCTGTATATACTGATGACAACTTAAACTTTATACACATGTTTGTTTCACTTGGTGACTTCTCGTCAGCCTTAGCAGAAACGAAGACAAAATAAGACATTTCTGATGAGACTGATGAACAGCAGATAGATCCACTGAAGGAGCAGACATGTCTTTCAGGTCAGGTTTTGCTTTTTCCTCCTGTTTCTTAAGAACATGACTTTCAGATACGGTTTATCTGCTGTAGGTTATTTTTTAGACCTACTGCTTCCACATTCCTCAGTTTTTTTAAGGACACACAGTTCACTGTGCTAGGTTATACCAAGTGTTTTGGCTAATAGCTCTAAGATGTTTTAAATAAAACATCAAAGCGACTGTCTAAAAAGCGCCCAGTTGTAGATTTTAATTGGATGGAGATCAGGAATGTTTTTCAGGTCATAAACCTGGTGGAGTGGAGAAAACGTGATGATTAAATCAGTGGCTTGAAATTTAGCAAAAAATCAGTTTAAAGAAGCAGAATGCTTGTTAAATGAGAATTTATTACCTAAATACTTCAACAACCTTCAACAAAACACAGCACTTTGCAAAATATGCAATAAAATTGTTCCTCCTAATGTGGGAAACCACAAACTTGTTTCACCCACCACCTGAGGCAAAAACACAATCAGGCTGTGAAGGAGCAGAAGCTAGCAGCTGGTGATGGACTCAAATGTGATCAAATGACCCAAGCATTACCAGCTGCACTTGCTAGTTGCAATCCACACGGCAGAAAGAGCAAATGGTGGATGGAAACTACTGATGCAGTTACATGTTGGAAAAGCAAGTGGTTCACGCTCTACCCAAGATACAAGATCCCAAGGTATGAAATACAAGCATTTCTTGTTTAAGTACTTTCTGTTTACTAATTACACACACTGATTCTGTATTGTCATAAATATGATTATTATCTTGAAATGATATTTTGATATCATTTTGAGGCTATATCGCCCACGTCCACCCCAAATCACCTGTGCAGTACTCTCAATAAAAATCCTTCCAATAACCTGTTTGGGGAAGCAAATTGTTTTAGATTTCTGATCAGCTGATCAACACTTCACTGAGTCCACGTAGCTCCTAGAGAGGAATTCTGATAGAAGATAAGATTAAAAATGACACAAAAACTAAACTTAAATCTCATTAATGAGAGATAGACTTAAGTGTTTTTAAGGGGTCGCTCAGTGAGAATTTTCACATTAAATGGGAACTAAAAATACTTTGGTTCTCTTTTTCTTTATTTGTGAAACACTGTGGACGTATTCAACGTATATGCTGCCTCGGTGAATAAACTTCACAATAATATATTTTCTTGAAATGCTGTAAATTGGTTTGCAAACATCTTGTCCACACATATATTCATTCTGACTGTGTTTCATTTGCTTGTGTATGGGGGTGTTTCCAATGCAGATATTGCAATAAAGAAACATTTTTACACTACAATGAACTAATCTTTGTCTGACAAAGTGTTCAAGAGTGAAACGACTTCTGTGAGATTCTTACATTGCGTCCATTGAATATAAGTGCATAGGTGCTAATTCCGTAGGTGTCTCATAAGTTTACATACCCTGGCAGAACTTTCAGACAGTATGGATGATAACACACAACCTTTTCTTTCACTCGTTGTTGGCTGACGCCATTTATTGTCAAACTGTGGTTACTCTTTTTTTTTAACACAACACAAACTACCCAAATGACCCAGATCAAAAGTTTACATACCCTGGTGACTTGCACACAACTTGACACAAAAAGGTTAGAAAGGCTATGAAATGTCACCATCGTCACCTGTGATGTGTTTGCTTGTAATCAGTGGGTGTGTATAAAAGGTCAGTGACTTTCTGGGCTCCTGACAGACCCGTGCATCTTTCATTCACTGATGTTATTCTAAGTCATGAGGAAAGCAAAAGAATTGTCAAAGGATCTGCGGGAAAAGTTGAACTTTATAAAAAAGGAAAGGTATATAAGAAAATATCAGCAATGTTCAAACTCTAATTAAGAAGTGGAAAATTGGGGGTTCTGTCGAAACCAAACCACAGTCAAGTAGACCAACTAAAATTTCAGCTACAAGTGCCAGAAAAACTGTTGGGGATGCAAGGAAAAATGTACAAATAACTTCAGGCTTCACACAGGACTCTCTGAAAATGTGGTGTGGCTGTTTCAAGATGCACAATAAGGAGGGACTTGAAGAAAGATGGGCTGCATAGTCGAGTTGCCAGAGGGAAGCCATTACTACACAAATGCCGCAAAGTATTCCACTTACAATATGCCAAACAGCACAGAGACAAGCCTCAAACCTTCTGGCACAAAGTCATTTAGAGTGATGAGACTTAAACTGAACGTTTGCCACTTGGAGAGGAGTCAACAAGGCGAACGGTGAAAGGGCCACCATTCCTGATGTGAAACATGGTGATGGATAGCTGATGTTTTGGGATGTGTGAGCTACAAAGGCACAGGATATTTCATCAGAATTGATGGCAATAGGAATGCAGTAAGCTATCAAAAAAGGAATTTTTTTTAAAATTGAGTAAATTTTGCATTCATCAGCCTGGAAGCTGCAAATGTGACGTACTTGGACATTTCAACATGACAATGATGCAAAACAGAAGGCCAAGTTGGCCTGTCATTGGCTACAGCAGAATAAAGTGACATGACAGACTCCTGACCTCAATATCATTGAGCCACTCTGAGGAGACCTCAAACTTGCAGTTCATGCAAGACAGCCCAAGAAATACAGGAACTGGAGGCTTTTTGCCAGGAAGAATGGGCAGATTTACCATCTGAGAAAGTATAGAGCCTCATCCACAACTATGACAAAATACTTCAAGCTGTCATTGATGTTAAAAGGGGCAATACAGGGTAGTAAGAACTGGGTATGTAGGTGGGGTAGTTTGTTTTGTGATTATTATCTAAAAAGAGTAAATACAGTTGTTTGCTTTATTGAACATGTGCTCAGCATCAGTTATAACAGCACAACAACGGGTACGACAGCTAGGAATAAAACTGGCACTAGGCAGCCCTGCCACAAAAACATATCAGATGGGCAACATGGGCACTAACATAACCCAGTATATAGAATAGAATAGAATAGAATAGAATAAACCTTTATTATCTCCGGATGAAAAATGTGGGTGTTACACAGCTCTTATAGCAAGGGGAATATAAAATATAAAAGGGAGACACAAAGTGGTCCTATATACATAAGCAACTGAAGTTCGTATTTACAGGTAACGATGTACAGAAATATGTATAGAAAGATTGTACAGAGATATGTACAAAATGTACAGTGAACAAACAAGCTGGTGAGTAAGATGACCAAAGGATGTTAAACTGTGTCATAGAGTCTGACGGCTGCTGTAAGAATGACCTGCGGTAGCGCTCCTTCCTACACTGTGGGTGTAAAAGTCCACTGCTGAACGAGCTGCTCAGTGCTCGTACAGTCTCATTCAGGGGGTGGGAGGTGATGTCCATGATGGATGTTAGCTTAGACAACATCCTCCCCAACCTGCTCGATGGACTTCAGCGGATGGTCCAGGACAGAGCTGGCCCTCCTGACCAGTTTGCTGAGTTAGGTCTACTCCCTAATTCACACCGCCCACAATGGCGGTGTTGTCTGAGAACTTCTGGAGATGGCAAGTGTCCGTGTTATAACTGAAGTCTGCAGTGTACAGGGTGAAGAGGGAAGGAGCAAGTACTGTTCCTTGTGGGGCCCCGTGCTACAGACTACCACCTCAGACACACAGTCCCGCAGTCACATACTGGGATCTACTGGTGAGGTAGTCAACAATCCACGAGGACAGTGATGGTCCACTCCCTTTCCCTGCAGCTTCCCACTTAGCACTGAGGTCTGGATTGTGTTGAAGGCACTGGAGAAATAAAAAAAAAACCATGACTCTCACAATGCAACTGGTTCTCTCCAGATGAGAGAAGACCCGATGCAGCAGGTAGGTGACAGCGTCGTCCACCTCGATGTTTGGCAGCCTCGTATAACCAGGCCTTTGGCCTCTGATAGCTCATTCTTCACCTTCATGTACACTTTGATGTTCGGTGGCACACTACTTCCGTATACAGGCCATCCCCTGCGTATGTAGGTGATGGCAGTCTGTAAGTCGCCATCAGTTGCAGTGTCTCTTTAATGCTCTACATTCAGCTTGGAGATGCTGGAATGCCCTGTATCACAGTGGCTACGTAGCAATCTGCCCAAGCCTGTGGGCTACGCGACAACGTATTGGCGATGTCATTCGAGATTCAAGATTCAAAGTGTTTATTGAAATGCTATTTCTTCTGTACACATGACAATAAACACTTTGAATCTTGAATCTTGAATGACAAATGTTTTGCCAGGGACATAGACGACCTCCGGCTTGTACCTCATGACATCTTGTAGACACCTCAATGGAGCCTTGAGTATAACAACCAAACACCAACCATGAATGAAAAGAAAAGTTTTTGTGTTATCATTCATATTGTCTGAAAAATGGTTAGGAAATCATAAATTCTGCCAGGGTATGTGAACTTATGTGCACAACTGTACATAAGGAGGTCATCACTTGGCCCAATTATAGCCAATTTACTTAGAGGCCCGCAAAGATCTATTTAAGCATTGTCCTGTGTTAGGTTTGTGCTGATTAATAAGGCATTTACACCACATGATTGGTGTGCTTGTAAAGTGCATTAACTTTTTTCAGCTGACTTACCTTCAGGTCTGTACTGAGCAATGATGGTGACCACTTGTCCTGCTCCTTTTAGGGCTGCAGCTGCTTGTTCATGTGTGGCTCCTTGTAGGTCAATGCCATTGACCTATTTTAACAACAAAGTTGAATTATTTTATTACAGTTTGCTTTACTGTATATTGTGTATTGACCTGCAATACAAAAAAGTGTACTTTATTTCACCTCAGTGTTAATGCATGGTGTCCATTAATAGGAGGACAATTCAGCTTCAGATTTAGTTTAACCCATTTATCAATTTTATTGTGAATTTTCCCAAATGACAATTGTCAAAGCCCTTAATTAAAATTAAAGCTGAAACTTTTCACTATCTTTCATCCCCGCAGGTGGGGTGGGGGTTGTGGGGAGGAGAGAGGTATGTGTGTATGATCCTCAAGCTTGGGTCCTCCTGAGGTCGAAGGTTCTATGGAGTACCTCAGCTGTTCCTACTACTGACGCAGACCACTGATGTTGTGGGCTGAACGTGCTGGAGCCCTCTTCCAGTTCTGGGGTTACAGCTCCTACTCTACTACTCCTACTACCACTGGGACCATTCTGGATTTTATGTTCCACAATTGCACCAATTGTTCATTCAGCCCCTGGTACTTCTCTGTTTTCTCATGCTCTTTCTTCCTGCTGTTGCTGAAACCAAAACTACAGTCTTGTGTTCCTTTTTAACCCCCACAATGTCTGGTTGGCTGGCCTATATACTGCTTCATCAACCAAACTAGTTTTTTGGTCATTGGGTGTTATTTCCAATGCCCATTTGAAACCTGGATCAGCTTGAAACCTGGATCCTCTGTAGCTGGGTACCAAGACAACATACCCTCAGAAGATCTACTAGATGATATGAATGCAGCACTCTGGACAATACCTACTGTGACCATAACCAGCTGATCTACACTACGGCAGCAGTGATCAGTGAGATGCTTGGCTACAAGTTGAACATGGAGAAGGAGACTTGAGGCCAAAATCAAGGTAGCATGGAGGGAGGTTAGCCAACTATTGGAGCTGCAGAAAGGTGCGATGAAGAAGGTGCCTAAGAAGTACAGCAAACTGTCTCATACCACAGGCCGTGGAAACTGCCAAGCAAAGACTCACAGCCTTCGCCAGCTGCTTTAAGGGGTACACCAGAGAGATCGAAGGCAGGAGAATAAACCAGCTGTTCTCCTCAGAACCAGCCGAGTGGCAGGGGAACAGTTTGAGAACAGCACCACCAAGGCTGGAGACGGAGCAATACTGGAAGAGCATATGGGAGAAGGACACAACCCATAACGGCAATGCTCAGTGGCTAGTGGATCTGAGGGCAGACCACAGCGACCTCCCTGAACAGGGTCCAGTGACCATCACAGTGGCAGATATCCAAGCAAGGGTCTCCAGTATGAGTTGGACAGCACCAGGCCCAGACATGGTTCACGCCTACTGGCTGAAAAGCTGACTGCACTCCACGAGCGTCTGGCAGCACAAATGAACCAGCTGCTAATAGACCAGCCACACCCAGAATGGCAAACTGAAGACCGGACAGTGATGATCACCAAGAAATTACCGGTCCCATCCAACTACCGGCCAGTAACCTGCCTCAGTACCACTCAGTACAAGCTCCTGTCAGGCATTATAGCGTCTAAGATGAACAGGCACATGGCTCAATACATGAGTGGGGCACAGAAAGGGATTAGCAAGAATACTAGACGTGCAAAGCACCAACTACTGGTAGACCGAGCAGTCAGCCGAGACTGCAAGACTAGGCTGACCAATCAGCCTCCAGTGCACAGGGCACTGCCTGGATTGATTATAAGAAGGCCTATGATTCAATGCCCCACACCTGGATCCTGGAATGCCTAGACCTATACAAGATCAACAGTACCCTAAGAGCCTTCATCAGGAACTCAATGGGGATGTGGTGTACAACACTAATTTCCAACTTCAAGCCCATAGCACAAGTCACCATCAAGTGTGGGATCTACCAACGAGATGCTCTGTCCCCACTGCTGTTCTGCATAGGCCTGAATTCCCTCAGTCAGATCATTAACAAGACTGGCTACGGATACCAACTACGGAATGGAGCAGTTGTCAGCCACCTCCTGTACATGGACGACATCAAGCTGTATGCCAAGAGTAAACGAGACATTGATTCACTGATCCACACCACCAGGATATACAGCAATGACATCGGGATGTCTTTCAGACTGGAGAAGTGTAGTCAGATGATAACAAAGAGAGAAAAGGTAGTCAGAACTGAGGGGATCAAACTACCAGAAGGCAACATTGCAGATACAGAGGTTAGCTACAAGTAACTGAGGATCCCACAGGCAAATGGGAACCATGAAGAGGTTGCTAAGAAAGCTGCAACCACAAAGTACCTGCAGAGGGTAAAGCAAGTCCTGACAAGTCAGATAAACCAGGGGTGTCAGACTCAATTACACAGTGTGCCAAAATTCAAAACTGGAACAAAGTTGCGGGCTAACATTAATATTTATTGAAAAAAAAATCTTCCTCCAGATATGAGAATGACTCTTTTCTTATGGACTCAAACAAGTTTTGCTGAAAAACTGAATATGGAATAAGGAAAGTTTAATGCTAAACAATATATATATTAGCTGTATAATACCAGTAGGCCAGCTCTAATAGTAATTTGGTATGGCTTCGCGGGCCAAATGTAACTAGGCTGCGGGCCAAATTTGGCCCGCGGGCCAGAGTTTGACACCTATGAGCTAAACGATAAGAACAAGATCCGGGCTATCAACACCTACGCCCTGCCTGTGGTCAGGTACCCTGCTGGGATAATAAGTTGACCAAAGGAGGAGATAGAAGCCACTGACATCAAGACAATGAAACTACTGACCATGCATGGAGGGCTTCACCCCAAGTCCAGAACCCTGAGGCTGTACGCTAGGTGTAAGGCAGGAGTTCAGGGACTGGTGAGTGTCAGTACCACGGTCCAGGATGAGACAAAGGAAATCCACAAGTACATCAGGAAGATGGCCCCAACCGACCGCGTGTTTAGTGAATACCTCAGCCAGCAGAAATACAGGAAAGAGGAGGAACCATCATGGAATTATAGGCCCCTGCACGGTATGTACCACCGGCAGATAGAGGAGGTGGCTGAAATCTTACCAGTGGCTGGACAAAGCTGGACTGAAAGACAGCACAGAGGCACTAATCATGGCAGCACAGGAACAAGCTCTGAGTACAAGATCCATAGAGGCTGGGGTCTATCACACCAGGCAAGACCCCAGGTGCAGGCTGTGTAAAGATGCCCCAGAGACAATCCAGCACATAACAGCAGGGTGCAAGATGCTAGCAGGCAGGGCATACATGGAACGCCATAACCAAGTGGCATGCATAGTGTACAGGAACATCTGTGCCGAATATAACCTGGAAGTCCCGAGGTCAAAATGGGAGACGCCCCCAAGGAGAATGACCGAGCTAAGATTCGGTGGGACTTGCAGATATAGACGGACAATATAGTGGTGGCTAACCAACCGGACATAGTAGTGTTGGACAAGCAGAGGAAGGTGGACATCGTGATAGACATTGTGAAAGTGAATGAAAGCAACATCAGGAAGAAGGAACACGAGAAGCTTGAGAAATACCAAGGTCTCAGAGAAGAGCTGGAGAAGATGTGGAGGGTGAAGGTAACAGTGGTCCCAGTGGTAATCGGAGCACTAGGGGTGAGTGGGGAATTTGTATATTTTTCTTGTCTTTTTTCTCATCTTGTCTGTTCTGGTAAATAATCTCTTAAAATCCAGAATAATCTTCTTTGTCTTTGTGGTGTTCAGAGCCGGTTGATATAGGCTCTGAACACAGGAATAATTAAAGCATGGGATGAAAGCCTATCTCAGAGAGAGGTTGAAAATTCTGGTGAAGACTGTGAACACAGTCCCTAAAAAATCTGATACTGTCAAGTCCAGATGTTTTCCTGGCACCAACCCCTCTTAACATCCACTTTACATCCTGAACCTGTACAGTCAATGGTTGGGAGCTCAAAACTGGGACTTGGAAGGTGTTAATGGTTGAGACAGAATAGTGGATTACGGGGGAGGTGTCTCAAAGCGTGAGAAGTTCCTTTGCTAAGTGTGATGCTCGTGTCCATGACTGTGTTGGTCTGCCTCCTGAAGTTGACAATACGCTGGATACCCTACCAAAGGTTATTATGGGAGAGTTGATTTTCTATGCTCCAATTTTCCTGATTCCGCTCTTCAGGTCAGCTCTGGCAGCACTATATACTTCCCTGAAAGTGGAATTGTGGGCTTTGGGGACACGTTTGACAGCTTACAGGACCTTTGATTGGGAAACACACATTTTTCTGCTGCTACATTTCCCACACAGAAGTTGATGGATAGAACAGCTTCTGTATGAACAGTCAAGTCCTTATTGCCAAAGACACTTGACTCAGAGGAATTGTGCTGCTTCTGTGTATACGTCTGTGGATGTATTCAGGGGAGAGGATCACAGAGAAGTGGTCAGACCGGCCTCTGTGTGGGAGATAACACACTCTGTGTTTTATGCTTGTATAAACTTGAGCCAAAGTGTTTTCCCCTCTGGTCACACATCTTACATGCTGGTAAAATCTAGGCAGGACAGACTCTAAGTTTGCCTGATTAAAATCACCTGCAGTAATATGTGTGCCGTTGGGTCCACTGTAGTAGTGTTTGTATGGTGTCTGCCAATAATAAGAGAGATGTGCTAGTGTTAGCATTGACTGGAATGTACAAAGCTGTCATTTGTCAGCATTTTGAGTTTAACTTTGTATTCTTGATTCTTTCCTTGGCATTATGAAGAAGATAAAAGTTCAAGTTTTATATGGTTTAATCTTGGTTTTAGTTCTTTTTATGTCTTTGAGTTTACTTTCTGTTTCTGGTTGATGGTTTCTTGTCAATTAGGTTCCTTTTGTGTCTTATCCCAGTGTCTCCTGTGAGAGTCTGTTGTGTCTGTTTGTTTGTTTCTCCTGACTCTGCTTTTCCTGTTTTATTTTGATAGTCCCTGTCTCATGTGCCTTGGGTTCAGTTTTGTTCCCCCTGTCTAAATTTTTGGACAGATTTCGCTTTCCCTATCATAAAGGATGGTCAAGTGTATCCTATGCTAAAGGAA